CTTACTAATTATGTTTTTCAAGTTGAGAAAAAAAAACACGAAGTGTATTGGTTTGTTATTATCCAATAAAACAATGATAAATTTCCTTAAACGTGATTTGTTAAAATGTGTTAGCTACATCTTGTTCTACTTGCTTGATTAGACATTCCTGTCGGTCACACCCTGCATAAAACGTATTGGCCGTGAATCGTTACCGAACTATATCCGAATCGCAAATCAAAGATAACAAATATATATAAACGACCAATCTGCCAGCAATGCACATTAATGCCAAGTAACAGTTATAATAACTATAACGTTTAATTGTGCAACGTTTTTATGACTTCTCAGGAGAAAAAACACACAGATTAGAAATGACTATTCATATTTATTACATGTTTACAAAAAAAAAGTGGTTCTCTTGCCACAAATACATATTTACAAAAAAAATACATCGAAGATGAAGGAGAGAGGGTCAGAACCTCGTCCATGAGTCAACTTCGTCGACTACTGCACTCAGTTGCTTGGGCTTACTTGCGACAAGACTTTCGCAAAATATGCCCTCGCGCAGTTTCTCCAACGACCTCTGACAATTTCCTAGAGTTCGTCGGGAGTTGCTGCCTGAATGGGGCCGTCGCTAAGCTGTGCCCATAAATTACTCTATTGGGTTGAAGTCTGCCCCTTCCCCAGCCATCCCATGTCTATGAGGTAATGCTGCTCACACAGCCATTGCTGTGTTCTGCGGGCCGTGTGGACCGGGGGCGGTCATTAACAAACCAGCATTGTGTCCCCGAACACTGCTCTCATGGATGGCACCAGCATATCTTGTAATATGTCTGTATATTGGGTAGTGTCCAAATGGCCGTCAATTTTGACCAAGTCCTTGGGTCCCGCAGAACTCATTAATCCCCAGATACCTGCAAACAGAAAACGTCAAATCAAGTAGTGATCTATAACACATGGACAAAAAACAAAAAAATGTAAAAACTCACCTATAGAAATGCGACCGCTTTGTTGGGTGCACCACACGTATTTCCAGTTAAAACGCATCGAGGGTGGTCGGCACACCTAAACGGTCCCGCTGTTCTCGGAACAGAATATTTTTTCGTTCGAAAAAAAATTACCGCAGACCAGTCTGCCACAGTCCATCGAGAATAAGTCTGGGCAAAGCGCAGTCTATCGAATTCATTTCCAACCATCAAGATCTGTTTTTGGCAGCTCGTTTCCCATGAAGGTTATCTTGTTGTAACCTATTAATAAAACAAATATATATATTATCCTGTTTCCTACATTTCTGTGTACGCAAGAACGCGTTAACACAGTTGTATTTCTGTAATACTGACACTACCATCGAGATACATTTCGATCAGAGTGTCAGTGTCATACTACAAATGTTACATACCTTCGTTTTATAGTCGATATCGACACGTCTAAATTCTGCTTCATTCTGTGTTGCCGCTGTTTTAAAAGGCTCGCCTCGCTGCTGCTTCGAACGCGAGCATCCTCTTCATCAGTTGTCTTCCGGGCTCGGCCCAGTGCCTTTCTCGGCAACACAGAGCCTGTGTCCCGATGCAATTTCAAGATTCTCGATACAGCTCTGGTCGATATCTTAAACATGGCAGCAATCTCTTCTTGTGTTGCACCTTCTTCATTATGCTTCACGATTAATAGTCGGATCTCTTTTCTAATTGCCTTTGGCATATTGCTTCTATTAGTTTAGCACTTCGGCAAACGGCTTTATATACAGTCGCTTCCCTCGACACGTCATGCAAATGATCCCCTGACTGTTGCAGGGGCTCATTTGCATTGAGATATGTAATCACACTTCCTACCTTCGTCCGTGCGCCTTACTTGTTTCGGCTTGTTTCTTGTACATGTGGTTGGAAGCGGCACATCAGCTAATCTGTCGACTGCGCCAATTCTTGTACGACTCGTGCTTATGGAGTGTACAATTGTTTCAAATATGTCAAAGGCAATAGTAAAAACTACTGAACTAACTTTAATTATAACAATTAATTATGTACAACGACTAGGCAGACATCTTTCTCCTTCGTCTTGTAAAAAACAACTAGTGCACCCTGCTTTTTTTCTCTTCTCGCCTCCTCGCGGGATTTTTTTTATAGAAACTTTTTACAAAAGTATTAAAAATTAATTTTATTTTATATTTGAATGTTACTTATATTACGAATTTATCGGTTATATTTCTAAGCATTTTTTAATAATTTTAAATATATTTTCTGTTTATATAATCTGTCTGCAGTATCTGTATTCGGTTTATGGCATCTGATGTCGCATTTCAATCTGCAAGAACCCTCTCCATCTTTCTCTCTATCCACACACCATTCCTCGTTAATTCCTTTTTCACTACACGCTAAGTATACTCTGTCGTACCGAGTTTGTGTAGGTCTTTTTCTCTTTCTCCTTTTATGTGGAATGTATTGCATTGACATTTTCGGAAGTCTCTCGTCACTTATTCTTTTTACATCTCCAAACCAAATAAGTTGTTTTCTTTTTATTTCTTCCGAAACCATTTCCTTCGGTGCCATTAAGTCTTTGATTTACTAATTTGTTATTCTTTCTCTTTTTTGAGATTTTGCACTCATCTTTTCAATGCATCCATTTCAATCGTCGTTGCTTTTCTCTTCTCTTCCCCAGTTTTTCTCCATGCATAACAGAATGCATTAAACAATAGCATTATATACATATATAAATATATTTTTCTTTACTTCACTAGTTTCGTTCGTGTATGATGGAGTCTGAGCAAGTTACGTCGATTTGGGTCCTACCCAACGAAATTTTCTTTAAAATATTCAGATATTTACAATTGGAAAATTTAGTTAATACTACTAACGTGTGTGTGAGGTTCATGAGCATCATTTTCACAATCAGGCCAGTTTCTATATATTTACATAAAGTAATTTAAATTAATTCGTTTATGTTAAAAAAGTAAATTCAAACGTTGTCAGTTGACTATTTTCTTTTACGGGGAGAGGGCAGAAAAATTAGAATCTTTACTAACAAGTTCAAATTTTAGACTAATACCTTAATTACCGTAAGTTGAATGACCCAAGAAGGTTAAAATTACGTTTATAGTGACGTGGAGAAGCGAGAACAAACACGTGTAACCGTTGCACGTGTTCAGTTNAAAAAAAAAACTTACTTGGTGAAATACAATGTGTACTGGATGTACATACCTGGTACAAAATATTTTTCAATTGCTTGAATATACTTTAAAGAAAGTTATAATTAAATATAGCTTTATAAAGAAACGTACATAAAAATAACATAAAATATTCTTTAATTTAAAATCTTTAAACAATGCACGTAGTCATATCGCTCTCTACGGACGGCTAATGGAGGAAATTGAAGACGGTTGCAAAGCGTACATGCAGGCGGACTGCCAAATCCCTAGGGTGCCGTACTGGTCAATGTCAGACACCTCTTTTGTCGCACCACTAGTATATCTAAAAGGACGCGACAGGGTTGTTGTAGATTTGAAACTTTTCTTGCCATAGCTGTAAACATGTAAATATATTAAACTTAATAGATTGTCCGTCATTTATTTTTTAATTGATTCGTTTCAGGAGTAGATGTCCACAGAAATTTACAAAATTTACAACTTTTTGGTCACTCTCATTGAAATGGAAAAATAACTGCCTTTATTACATTAATAATACGAAGATAAATATATGAAAACATCAATTATTATTGTATATTAATATATGTTATTTAAATATTTAGTCACGTGTTTTGTTCCGCTCACGTAAATTTTTTAATCTATAAAAATAAACAGAAATAATCCTGAAATTTTTTACGCATTTTTAGTTGCATTTATATTTTCTTGGTATTCTGTAATAAAAATTAATTATTGAAAGGTTCAAAAAAACACAGCCTATTAAAAAGAACTATGAAACTCCTAACTTTCAGAATTGCTCGTCTTTACAGTTATATTTGATAAATGTCTGCACTTTATACTTTCACAAATTTTATAAACTATTTATCGATTCAGATATATTTTGCACCTAATTACTTATTTACTTATCAATATTAATTATGTTTTGCATTGAATAACGAACAGCATTAGAGATTTCTCTCGGTTTTATTTGAATTATTCGAGTTTATCGCCAATATAAAGTTAATTACTTAGTTTGCACATGTAACATACGTGTATGATCTTGTAAATAATTTCACAAGACAAAGACTTTTCCTAATATTCTATCGGAGGAAAAATAATTGTCTAGTGTTTTCTTTATCTCGCCGCTAGGAAGGTAATTGTGTTCATGCTTGTTTTGATTCCAGGTAGGTTTATACGTTACTTGTTTCGTGTCGATATATAATATATGACTCAAAAAATTTTATCGAATGGATTAAGTACGAGATTTAGTCAGTTATTATAAGTAATAATTTCAAAACATTCAATAAATAACTTATAAGTATTTGTATCGTATTCGTTTTTCCTAAAAATAGTGTTATTTTTTCTTACATTACAATTATTTAAATTTTTAAATTCACATTTACTTTTACTTAAACGGATAATTTGTTCATTTTGTTTCCCATGGATAAACCAATTTTAAACAAATGCAATTTTTTGGTCATATACAGTCGACCCCCCTATAACGTACGTTCCAATAACGACAATTCCTATAACGTAGCGAAAAAATTGTAGAAACTGTCGTATAACGTACCTCCTATAACGTCGTTTCGCGACAAGATTGATAGAGTCTGGACCAATAGTAAATGAGCAGCCGAACTACTTTCCTCCGACCCTGCGCCACGCTACGGAGCGGCTAAATTGAGTTTGCTATCGTCTGTTTAGTATTATATATAAATTATATATAAATTAGGTACTGTACATATAATTATATATTAATTATATATAAATTAGGTACTGTATATATAATTATATATTAACTTAATTTATTGTAACTTTATTATAATTAAATATATAATTTCCGCCGTCTAGCGTGGCGTCACGCTATGGAGATTTTCGGAGGTAAGTTGAGTTTAATGTCGTCTGTTTAGTATTATATATAAATTATATATAAATTAGGTAATGTAAGTCTAATACAGTACTGTAATTTTATAATTTTTACGTTATCTAAAATTTTGTCTTTAGCCATCATGACTTCTACCATGGAGAAGAATTCTAAGAGCAGAAAACGTATATCCTTTGAAGAAAAACTTAAAATTTTGGATCGGTTAAAATCTGGTGAGAAAGTAATGGTCATTGCTAACGATTTAAAATTAAGCGGGTCAACAATTCGAACAATAAAAGATAATGAAAACAAAATAAGGGCTAGAATTTCCTCTGGAGCTTTAGTAAGTTTGAATAAAACTGCTCGTATAAAGGACACTTTAATGCCTAAAATGGAAAAATGTTTGATGTTATGGATAGAAGATTGCATTTCAAAGAATTTTCCTTTGAGTAGTAATGTGATAATGCAAAAGGCAACAAAGATTTACCAGCATTTAAAACAGCTCGAATCCGTTTCTTTTAATGAATCACATCGACACGAATTTAAAGCCAGTAACGGTTGGTTTAACAGATTTAGGAATCGATTTTCCTTGCGCAATGTCAAAGTTGTAGGAGAAAGCGCATCAGCCGACACAGAAGCAGCCGAGAGATTCCGAGAAAATTTTCTCAAAATTGTAGAAGATGGAAATTACACTGCAGATCAAGTATATAACGCCGACGAAACCTCGTTATATTGGAAGAAAATGCCCGGACGCACTTACATCTCGAAAAATGAAAAGTCTGCTTCAGGATTTAAGGTTTCCAAGGATAGGATCACTATACTTTTATGTTCAAACGCATCTGGAGATAACGTTACAAAGCCCATGTTAATTACCCGTTCATTAAACCCACGAGCAATGAAAGGAGTTGACAAATCAACTCTTCCTGTTTTCTGGCGAGCAAATAAAAAGGCATGGGTAACAGGTGTTTTATTTCGCGATTGGTTTTACAATTGCTTTGTGCCGGAAGTGGAAGAGTACTCAAAAAGAAAAAATATCAGTTTCAAGGCTTTGTTACTGGTTGATAACGCGCCAGGACACACAGATTTAAATCATCCGGCTGTTAAATTAATATTTTTACCTCCCAATACGACATCAATCCTACAACCACAAGACCAGGGAATAATTAAATCATTTAAATCATTGTATATACGGCACACATTTGAACACATTTTACAAAATATTGATTGTAATCCAAATACTACTACAGTACCGGACTTGTGGAAAGATTTTTCAATTTTAAATAGCATTGAAATTATTTCGTTATCTCTGAAGAAACTAAAATGTTCGACTCTGAATGCCTGTTGGGGAAAATTATGGCCTGAAGTTGTTATTAGAGAAGATCGTTTAACTTCCGTAACAACAGAAGTAAATCGCATAATAAATATTGCCCACACTTTAGGTGGAGAGGGATTCGTCGACATGAACGAGGAAGATGTTATTGAATTAATTAATACTAACCAACAGTTAGATGAAGAAGAACTTATGCAACTGGCAGAGTTGTCCGAATCAAGCGGTGAAGAAGACTCATTACAAATTTTCTGTGAGCCAGAACAATACTTTAATTTAGAAATCTTAAATAAAGCATTAGAATTGGCAAAAAATCTAGAAGAACTTTTTACGAATAATGATCCATCAACAAAGCGCTCTGAGGAATTTAAGAAAAAATTCAAAGATTGTTTAGCTCCATATTTTAAAGTAAAAGAAGATTTAGAAAGTAACAATAATAAATTGTTGAGAACATAAGAAGATACCCTTTCAGACTACGAAAATAATAGAGAAGAAACAAGTGAATTTTTAAGCTATGAAATATTACAACCAACATTTAAAAGAGGATGTCGTTGGATCCTAATTATAGATAGCTCTGACAGTGAATAAATGTAAAAAAAAAAGTGTAACTGCTTCTTTTATTTAAAAATGTTTTGCTATTCATTTTGCGTTAATTACAATATTTGTTTGTTTTGAAAGGAACTAAAATATATTTTAACAGTTACATATTAAATATTTATTTTACATCTTTCTTAAGTATCTATGTAAATGTATGTTTATGCATATGTAAACTGTATGTGAGCCGCTCATTTGCCAAAACGATAAGTTCATAAAAGAAAAGGTAGAAAATATGCATTGATAAATTTTTTACATTTCTTGTGAAAGAAACATTTCTTATTCAACGGCCATAAAAATTATTTATATTAATGATTTCTCCAAAGGTCAAGTTATTTTTCTGCGAAAAATTCGTTATCAGATATCGCGGCCGTCGTTTCGTGTGCTGTTCCGCGACTAAAAGAAGCTTTGAGCAACAGCGTAGTCGAACGGTACACACTCGGTAAGTAATCCTATAATTTTTTGTTTATAGCATAGTTTATACAGATTATTCCCAAAAAATTATACGTGTTTTGGAAATGTTGAGTGGAATTAGTCTAGAATCGGTTAATTTTATAGAAGAAAACCTTTCGAACAGCCTTAGTCCGTAAAGTTCCCACCTATCAGGCTGCGATTGGCTCATGTATTTAATCGTTCCTACAACGTAATTTTCGGTTCGCGTGGAACGTATCTAAGCGTTATAGGGGGGTCTACTGTATAACGATATATGACCAATTCCAGTAAAAAATAATTGAAGTGAGTCTACAAGAGGTAAAACGAAACTACTTCTTCAATTGCATAATTCCACGGTTTGTATATAAACTCATCCTAACAATTCAAACAATACAATTGTATCGACATTACGGACAATGGGCTATCTAAAATCCTTGTTACGTACTTTTGGAAATTATCGTGCAAACTTTCACGATTAAATATTTTATAATTAATTTTATAAACAGAAAATATATTTGAAATTATTAGAAAATGTTATACGTGTTTCTAGAAATTTTTAAAATTCGATTTTATTCGCATAAATCTCGGAATAGAAATTCCTTGTGAAATAGGAATGTGTTTCATTCACACGAAGTTATTTCATGTACGAATGTAATGAATCGAATTTAAATTATGATATTTGTGATTCGTTTCAAATTATTAAAAAATCGTTCGAGAACATAAGACTTCGAAAATTGTTAAATATTCATTAAAGACTGAACTAATCGTCCAATTTGTATTTTCTTTTGATGATAAAAAAACACTAAAATTGTGTAATACTTTAGTACTTTCAATTATGTATAAAGTAATTACGTTTTATATTTATAATATAAAAGTCAAAATATATATGTACGTATGTTTGTTTTTACATTACGCAAATAGTTCTGTGCACGTTCAGGAAATTTAACATGAATAATGTTTCACATCCGAATCGCGCTAAAATAGATTTTTTTCGTGTCAACCATTCTTATATTGAAATATTGTTGTAATTAATCTTGTAATTTTTACTGTTAAGTTTTTGTTTTGTTTCTTTCTTTGTGTTCTTCCAAGATTTTGTGTTGTTCAGTTTCATTATTGTAAATACTCGAGTCAATTAATGCATATTTTAGTTACTAAAACTATTGACTTTATCATCCTTTTTTAACCAAACCTAACCACCACGCATTAAACAGCAAAAACGATGCTTGACACATGTCAATATCTATACATATAAATAAAANGAAATAATGACCGATACAGTATAGATTATATTTTAATTTGTATAAGAATTTAATATATAAAAAACGATAACACAACATCGAAACTCGCGCCCTCTATATTACAACTTTTAAAACTTCGAGTGAGTTTTTAAAAAAAAAACGATTTGCTCTTAAAAAAATATGATTCGCTGTTAGTTTTTAATGAAAATGTGATTGGTTAGTATTTTATATAAGTTACTTTTTAAAAAGTATTAGTTTTATATTTAAGCTGTAATCATGGGGATGTATGGTTTTCTAGTTACTTACGGAGACTATAAAATATACTCATCTTCTTCAATTCTGTACCGTACTTTGGACGCTTGCGTTTCTGCAATAAAAAATTTCTCGTTTGATGTTCCCCGTGATTTTCCATTTATTCTCCGCTATTTCAAAGTCAAAGATATTTGGAAAGGAGAAGGAAAATACGGTTTTATAATTGCTGGCGAGAATGGAAGAATTAACAAAGTATGTAATAAATTATACGGTTCGTTCGAACGATGTGCGGAAGATATGAGAGAAATATGTTTAGAAAATGATAAGAAAACTTTAGTAGTGTTTAAAGAGATAAGTCCAGGAATGAAATATTATAAATTTTTTAAAATTTTCTAAGGGTGACAAAGTTGATTAATATATATTTCAAACATCCTAGTACTTGTGTAATTGCCGATTCTTCCCAATCTGGAAAAACCACATTGGTGAAGAGAATGATTCACAACGAAATTTATGAAAATCCTCCAAAGAAGATTTTATGGTGTTACTCCGTATATTTACCGTTTTTTCAAGAAGAAAAAGATATTACATTTATGTACGGCTTACCCGAATCTGTTCAAGGATGGGATTTGATAATAATCGATGATCTGATGCACGAACTGTCTCCAAAAACAACATTTTTGTTTTCGACAGAATCTCATCACTGTAAGTGTGATTTTAATAATGCAAAATTTGTTTCTGAAAAAATAAGATTATGAGAGATATAAGTTTAAATACACATTATTTGATTTAATTAAAAAATAATCGTGATGAGAGTCAGGTGAATTGTTTAGGTCGCCAAGCTTTTGCAGGAAAATTTAATTTTTTCATGGATGCATACAAAAAAGCAACAGAAAAGAAATTTGGTTATTTGTTATTAGATTTTTATCCTAAAACAGATAAGAAATTTTCTGTGAGAGATTCTTGTTTTTCAGACGAACAAGGTATTTTTTAGATTTACTTACCGATAAAATGAAAAACGTAAAGGAAAATTATCATATGCTAGCGCTTTTAGCGAAGACTACTTCTTCCCAACGAAAAGCCATATTAAAAGAAGCTACTCCCAATCAAGTAAAAGTGTTGTGTGAAATTTGTGATAATTTGTGGAGAGGAAATATACCCACCGATGTTCGTAAATTACGAAAATATAAAGAAATTATTATGTAATTAAGCGAAAAACGCGTTTTTTTAAATACCAAAAAAAAAATTTTGGTTAATCAATCTGGTGGATTCCTTCCTCTTCTACTGGCGCCGTTACTGTCCGTGGCAGGAGGGTTAATCGGTAAAGTAATAGGAAAAAGAATCTAATGGCGAAGCAGATGGCCTTAGTTCCTCCCGAATTACTGATGAGTTACCAAAAGCCTGAAATAAGAATTGTTTCAGAAATGAGACATACATGTCCATTTATATATATAGATATAGATAATCTTTTGATCAGCGCTGGTTCTGATTAAGTCTATGTTAAAATTAACGTTTTTGTATCCAGCTTCATCTAAAACATTACGGAAATAAAAGAAGTTGTATTACTGTTAGGTGTTGCCGTCCCTCTCTATATTAGACGCCACGAGCTGCCAACAGAACTGCCATTTGCATGTTCTTACCCTACTCTAAATTAACAAAATTAATTTCATTTACATAAATTGTTTATTAAAGTTTTATAATATACATGTGTCTGTTAAAATAACAATATGAAATTGAAGAAAGTATATGAAATAATATATATGTATGAATTGATCTTAAAGAAAATAATGAAAAATTATATAAAATCTTTTTCTAGCATTGTTTGTGCTTAAATTGAATTCTTCTTAGAATAAAATTAATACGGACTNGCAATAAATTTCTTTTATAAATTAAAAGTATAAAATTCGATAGGAATAGAATTTATATCTATTATTAGTTTACTTATTTACAACACAGGCAATAAAATTATACTCGTGCCATTTTGTGACAAAAATATTTACAAATTCTTTAAGTTTCAAAGCAGAAGTATTTTAGGATTTTTATAAAATATTTCGAAACTGTATTATATTTCCAGTCAAAACGTAAATATACCCTACACTCTTTTCAATCTGTCGATAATATAAACAATATTACATTGTAGACATTCATTGTGGTTAAATAAAGTAAATTAATCGATGTTAAAACACAAATCACATTATTACGAACAAACTGAATCCGGAATCTCTAAATGGAAAGTGTATATATAAATATATACACATATTGAATTACATGCCCAAGGTATATAAGAATATATTTATATGCGAAATTAAAGTGTAACTATTCCTCAAATTATTATAAATAAACTTTTTTCGTAAGTCAGTTGAACATAGTCATTGTCCATTCACACAACGTATAACTCTTATCCAAATACGCTTCAAAAACACAAAGCAAATAGCATGTGCTGGAATAAGCGAATAAAAATATTACGTCACACACACAAAGGCCCAATTTCGTGATTATGAATAATTTGTTTAAAAATTATTTCAATGATTACGAATTTGTGTGTGTCTTCTATATCACACATACATTCAACATATGAAGTTTCATTAATTTCTTGTAGCACCGTAATTATATGGAGGGCATTTATCGAATTTAGCATTCGTATTTACTCCAAACAATATAGTCTATACTTTTAATACAATTATCTATACAATAACGCTTATCTTGCCCCACCTTTTCCTATATATTACTGCGTTATATATCCATTATTAAACAACATTTGAATTATTTTTAGAATCTAGCGGAGACCAAACGACTTAAATCGTTTTTCTAAATTCTGTATCTTTTTAAAATATGCAATTTGCAGTGTATATTGCCGATTCTCTATTCTATTATATTGTGACTGAAGGCAACGCTTAACATTAGTGCACTTCGATACTACAAAACGAAATAATCATTAAACTTGTTTCGTACGAAATGCAATCAGCTTATAGCATGAAAATTTGGTCAATTTATGTTGCGTCTCACATACTTCGTACGTTTTTTTTCTCAGTTATTTTTTGTCCCTTTAAAAAACGCATATTAAGAAGGGATTTTTCGAAATCCCCACACGAAAATAGTAAGAGGATTAAGGCTTACCCTGAAGAACTCGGCTTCTATCGTACTATTTTAGATGCGACTTTTTGTTCTTAACTGCGTTTTAGTAGGCCACCACATTTAGTAGGGTTCTACGTAAAAACGAACGAAGTGTATTTCTTAACAATGGGAGTATTGAATATCAATGGAAGTGTTAAGAGAAAGCGGCTGGCAACATTTACAGGCTCAAATGCGGTTTTTAGCGTTTGTGTTGATAATCGAACATATTTTTAAATTCATCTAAAAATTCTCTAATCAGTATAAAAACGGTGGACCAAATTCTTGTATTCTCTGAATATGTGTAAGAATGGCTATAACGTAATTATCTTAATCTTCGCCATCGTACACAGCAATCATATTCTTAATGCGCTCCACGCAACAAATGTATTTAATAATGAAGGCAGCTATTCGTTTTCACTATTTATAGATAAATCTAGTCAAACCAAACACAAAAAATTGCCTTGTCATAACGATTTCGGTATATTTTAAGAAATTTGTTCAGAAATTACATAAAATTTAATTTCGTAAAATTATCTACAAGTTCATCGATTATATTTCTTCTTTCTAGGCAGCACGTGCTTTTACCATTCTGTGACGTGATTTGTTTTAACATTTTTCAACGTCACACCACGCTCTGTTCGATACTCACCAATCAAATACCATCTGCGGAGACTTTTACATTCACATCAAGTGGAGAACACCGACTAGAAAAGTTTTCCAAAATACTGTAATACGTATCAAATATTTAACTTTAATAGTAAATTATTCAACCCGTTCTGCAGTATTTTCTATAAAAAGATACAAATAAATAACTTTTTAATAACCCACCGAACAACCAAGTACACCTAAAATTTTACTACTTCGAGATGCAGTCGTCAAATAGAAATTGCGTGGCAACAACACTTCAGCCTTTGATCTCTGTAATGGAAGCTTTCGCTTTGGATACGATGGAGACTTGCAATTGTCAGAAGAAAAAATCAAGGAAAATTCAAAAACTTTTTACACTTTACTCTAATTTACTTGAAATATTTTTATGGGGTATGGTTTTATTCTTTACTGCATTGATAGCAACACCGAGAAGTCACTGCAATCAAATTTTTATGTCACTTGAAAATAATAAGANATTGATATATGTTATTTAAATATTTAGTCACGTGTTTTGTTCCGCTCACGTAAATTTTTTAATCTATAAAAATAAACAGAAATAATCCTGAAATTTTTTACGCATTTTTAGTTGCATTTATATTTTCTTGGTATTCTGTAATAAAAATTAATTATTGAAAGGTTCAAAAAAACACAGCCTATTAAAAAGAACTATGAAACTCCTAACTTTCAGAATTGCTCGTCTTTACAGTTATATTTGATAAATGTCTGCACTTTATACTTTCACAAATTTTATAAACTATTTATCGATTCAGATATATTTTGCACCTAATTACTTATTTACTTATCAATATTAATTATGTTTTGCATTGAATAACGAACAGCATTAGAGATTTCTCTCGGTTTTATTTGAATTATTCGAGTTTATCGCCAATATAAAGTTAATTACTTAGTTTGCACATGTAACATACGTGTATGATCTTGTAAATAATTTCACAAGACAAAGACTTTTCCTAATATTCTATCGGAGGAAAAATAATTGTCTAGTGTTTTCTTTATCTCGCCGCTAGGAAGGTAATTGTGTTCATGCTTGTTTTGATTCCAGGTAGGTTTATACGTTACTTGTTTCGTGTCGATATATAATATATGACTCAAAAAATTTTATCGAATGGATTAAGTACGAGATTTAGTCAGTTATTATAAGTAATAATTTCAAAACATTCAATAAATAACTTATAAGTATTTGTATCGTATTCGTTTTTCCTAAAAATAGTGTTATTTTTTCTTACATTACAATTATTTAAATTTTTAAATTCACATTTACTTTTACTTAAACGGATAATTTGTTCATTTTGTTTCCCATGGATAAACCAATTTTAAACAAATGCAATTTTTTGGTCATATACAGTCGACCCCCCTATAACGTACGTTCCAATAACGACAATTCCTATAACGTAGCGAAAAAATTGTAGAAACTGTCGTATAACGTACCTCCTATAACGTCGTTTCGCGACAAGATTGATAGAGTCTGGACCAATAGTAAATGAGCAGCCGAACTACTTTCCTCCGACCCTGCGCCACGCTACGGAGCGGCTAAATTGAGTTTGCTATCGTCTGTTTAGTATTATATATAAATTATATATAAATTAGGTACTGTACATATAATTATATATTAATTATATATAAATTAGCTACTGTATATATAATTATATATTAACTTAATTTATTGTAACTTTATTATAATTATATATATGCTTTCTGCCGCCTGGCAACACGCTACGGAG